TTGCATAATTAAAGAGATGACAACATATGCAAAAAAATCCTTTATTTGTTGACAAATGGGAACTGCTAAAGCAGCCCTTCGAATGTCAGTTGAATTGCTCTGGAGAAACTGGTCAATCTTTGCCTCATATAAACAGATATCTATAGCATGTACCCTCTGTAACACTAGAAAGCGTTATTTACTGTGACACTCCACAAAACCCAAATTAAGAAAACCAGCATGGAAATATAATCAATCGAGCCAAGAAAATCCTAAATAATTCTAAGAATCCACCTAGCTATAAAACATTACCTTCTTAGATAATGAGATCTAGGATTGCCTATTGATGTAGTGTGCTTTAAAACTGTCCATGGAAATTAAAATCCCTGTTCCCTACAAATAGGTGACTCGGGAGACCAGTAATGAGAGAGAAAGTGTTTTCAACTCCCCCAAATTGCTGGCTCAAATCTTGCTCAGGTCAGCCCCAATCAATAAAGGGCTATTGTAGAAGAGCTGCCTGAAATCCTTTTTGTACCAGTGGACTTGGTTCAGCTCCCGATGGATAAACCCACAGCATACCAGTATAAAGGAAAGTTTGCTGACAGTCTCTTAAAGGTATCAGTGTTATAAAAGAAAATCAGGAGGAATAAAATATTGGATAAATGATTATCTGTGTCAATTTTCTGATTAATCTGGAATAAAAAAAATGTATGCTGCTTTTATTGATTATCTACAGAAAACCTTAAGAGGTATTATGCTGGGCTAGTTAAACGTTCTTCTGAGTGCACAGTTGGGGTCATTAAAGCAAGGTAAACAAACAGATTCTAACCACTCCATCTCCTTGGTGAAGCACAGAGCACTAGAACAATCCTATATCAACCCTTGCCTTTTTCAAATTGAGAAATCTGCCACGTAATCACAAAAGTGTTACAGAATCACTATTGCTTTCTGTGTTCTTTAGAAGAGTGGCATAAATCCAAGCTTTAACTACTATAACAACAATCTAAAGGATGTTTAAACAGGTCTAAGGGGAAACTAGTCCATAATGAGGGTGAATTTTTCCCACACATATGTAAAATGGATCATCACATCATATTCATATATGACATAATCAATGCTTTTTTCTCCGATATGGAAATAATCCGTCATGTGTGATCGTGAAGCTTCTTCATATGACTATTATTGTAAATACTGAACTCCTTTACTGTGATTTATCAGCGTCCACAAAACAGCAGTGCCATCTTGTGTTCAAATAATACATTTCTCAGGGGAACCATGTGCAAATTGATAGCTCTGTACTTTTTATTCAGCTCAGAGAACAGTTACGATACAGTGGGTGCAGCAGTTAAAATGCCAAACCAGAACTGGAGACACCCAGGTTTAAATTATTATTCAATCACTAAGCTGTTCTGGATGACTCTCAGGCCTGATTCAGACATAGGCATGCACTTAAGAAGCATTTAGGCATCTAGTTAGCTTTCCTGCATAAGATCATATAGTTCCTGAAGAGAAGTACACCTCAAAAATATTTGTTTCATTATCAGTACTGTACACAAGTAATACTACTAGAGAATCTCTGATTCCATTTTTAACTTCTATTAAAACATAACTATTGCATTCTTTTGTTACTGTCCATGGGGTTTTCACAAAAGAATGCAATAGTTATGCTTTAATAGAAGTTTAAAATGGAACCAGAGATTCTCTAGTAGTATAGCAATGGTATCCCCAATAGTACTCTATGGCTGCGAGAGTTGGACCATGAGGAAGGCTGAGCGCCGAAGAATAGATGCTTTCAAATTATGATGCTGGAGAAGATTCTTGAGAGTCCCTTGGACTGCAAGGAAATCAAATCAGTCAATCCTAAAAGAAATCAACCCTGACTGTTCCCTGGAAGGCCAGATGCTGAAGCTGAAGTATTCAGCTGAAGCAAAGTATTTACTTTGGCCAATTAATGAGAAGGGAGCACTCACTGGAAAAGACCCTGATGCTGGGAAAGATTGAAAGTCAAAGAAGAAGGGGACGGCAAAGAAAGAGATGGTTAGACAGTGTTATCGATGCAACGAACATGAAATTAAGCAAACTCTGGAGCATGACGGACGACAGGAGGGTCTGGCGTGATGTGGTCCATGGGGTTGCGAAGAGTTGGACTTGACTGTGCGACTGAACAACAACATTGCATTCTTAACGTTGACTAAATCAATAGAAAATTATACCATCCACCAATGTTACATAGATAATTAAGGAAAGCAGCTATATGAGTCTATACAAGTTTCTTACCCCAAAGATAAGCAGCTCACAGGTAAGGAGCCCCTTCTGAGAAGAAAGCTCTCAATTTAACTTCCCTATTTATAGGAGTTTATCATCTCCTAACAATAGCTAACTGTCCCACTTGATAAGGGCGCACATGCTTGACTAACTAAATATCTTATAACTTCAAATACTATTCAAGGTTATCTATATATCTAATTCACAACAGTCCCCTATGTGCGGATACTTATTTCTGTAGATAGAGAGCATACTGTCCACCTACAGGTTTTTGAACAAACTCAGGGGACTCCATGGGTCTGCAGAAAAATCAAAAAAGTTTAAAAAAACACACCAAACCCTCCCCACTATGGAGAAAGACCATAGTTTTCCTCAGGAGAAGCTGCAGGGGAAAAGGAAGCGGAAAGCTGAAGACAGAGTGGCCAATAAAGGTAGGTTGACTGTTGGGTGGGAAGGAGATAGGGATGCCAATTCCAGGTTGAGAAATTCCTGGATATTTGATGGGTGGAGACTGGGGATGGGGGGGATTGAGGCGGGGAGGGACTTCAGACAGATCTAATACCATAGACTCCACTCTCCAAAGCAGTCATTTCCTCTAGTGGAACTAATGATGCCAACTTCCATGTGAGGGCTGGAGATCTCCTGGAATTACAACAGATCTCCAGATGACAGAGATCAGTTTCCCCAGATAAAATGGCTCCTTTGAAGGGTGGTGTTTATGGTATTATACCCTGCTGAGGTCACTTCCAAGCTCAAACCTCATCCTCCCAAGGCTCTACCCCCAAATCTCCAAGAATTTCCCAATATGGACCTGGCAACCCTAAGAAGAACTGATCTCTGTATTGTTGTGATTCCTGGAAAGTGGCTGCTGCCACTGCTGCTGTGGGGGTGGGGGGGAATAGGTGGGAGACCGGGAGAGTGATAGGGGCAGAAAGAGAGAGTGATAGGGTGGGAGGCAGAAAGAGAGAGAAAGAGTGATGAGATGGGGAGTGTTAAGTATGCAACTCAACAATGAAGTAAGTAACAAAGTGAATCAGCAGAGTGTGAGAGAAGTGAGGGAGAGGGGAAGAAGCAGAGGTCGGGGGAATGGGATAGCCGCTCCGGCAAGTTTCTTGCTGGTCCCCACTTGTCTTCTTAAAAATATAAATGTCTTCTTAAAAATATAAATACTGTTAGTATTTATACTTTTTTATACTGCTTTTTATCTTAAAGTCTATTTAAAATAGTGATTACAAGTTTCTTCAAAGATTACTGACAAAGGGAGCATTGACTCTAGGAAGCTTATACTTCTGCTGGACTCAAATCTAGCTGTCATATATATCAACTAGAAATAAGGCCCGTTGTGGAAATAAATACAACGAGAGCTAGAAAGAGGCTCTGGGAGAGTGCTCTGGCTTTGGGCAAACAGTATTTATTTATTTATTTATTTAGGCATTTTTACCCCGCCCTCCCCACAAGCGGGCTCAGGGCGGCTTACAGGGGCACAGTGTCAGTTTGCTGTGGCGACCTCAGCAGGGTATAATGACAGAGTCCACTGTTTTCTCCAGAGGGACTGATCTGTGCTACCTGAAAAAGTGTGGAATGGAGTGAAGTCCAATCAGCTTCCATATGCAAAAGACCTTGAAACGCTGGGCGGGACTGCACAAAGCAGCCAGTCAACCCAGCCAGCGTCTTCTGACTGACAGTTCAAGCGTCCATACACTAAAGGTGTGCATTTTAGAACGTTGGCACCCACTACTCTTTTATAATAAGGGAGAGATACCTTTTGGGCCGCAACCAACACACCCACCTTTGAATCATATCTTCACTTCTGTGAACTTGGACATTCCTGCCATACTCAAATGCTTCTGCAACTTGGCCTCAACAACTTATATCTATTGATATGTGTCAGATGGCTTCCAATCTACACAAAGTTATATATTGTGTAACTTCTTTATCTCCTTGCCATTTCAACCTAACAGCAGGGCAGATTCGCCTGTCAGGTTGAAATAGCTGGCAGTGGCAGCCATTTCACTAGCTCATTTCACTTCCCCCTGCTCTCAGCCCTTTCAATTTAAAAGGTCAGCTGCAGACCTGTGCCTTTCAGCTGTTACATTTAAATGGCCCAAACAGCCAAAATCCAGTAAATGTCTGGGGAAGGTGTCTTAACATTGGTTCAGGGGCTCCGAACTGGCCCAAGTTCATGCAGAATTCTGGCTCATGAGCTGGTTTGTGCCCATCCCTTCCTCCATATTCTACTTGCGTTCCCCCAAACTTACCTCATAGCAGCGAACCCAAAACCTATACACTTGCTACCTTTAGAACACCTGGTAACTGAGGGGAAGGTTTATAGTTTAAAATAAACCTGAGTCCCCCAGAATCATAAGAGGCTGTGCAGGTCCCCTCAGTTGATAGAAATGGCCTGTCACAAAGGTTCCCTTTACTGAGTATGGCTAGAAGTCATTGATGGACCTATCGTATACGAACCTAGCTCCCTTTTAAAGCTATCACTACATCCACTGGGGCTGATTTCCACAATTTAATTATTTGTTGAGTAAAGGAGTATTTCTTTTTTCTGTCTTGCCTTGAATCTATCACCCATTAAGTTCATTGTGTGCCCCAAGTGCTACTTTTGTCCACACTCCTTTGTCAAATACCCTAACACAAGAAAATGAGGGACCCTGCTGATACAGGATACTAACAAACACAAGCTTAGACCACAGCCCATAGGTTTTTTTTAAACTCTGCAGTCCAAAATAGACAAAACATTTCCTTACCCAGATTCTGCTTATCTTTTTCTCTCTCTTCCCATTTTGAACTGTCCACATAAGCAGCTGACAGAATAGATCTTTTGCCTAATAAAAAAGAAGACAAGATCAAAAGGTCATTTAGACAGGTTTCAATTTATCGAAATGTACTTTTTATTAGCCATCTTCCTTTTTATACAGTCCATTCTCTAACTTAAGTGCAATAAATAGCCAGCATAGCCACCATCCTACCAGAAAACATTAAACGTCATCATCCCTTAGAATTCCAAACAGAACTTTTAGCTTCAGAGAGGTCTTACTATCACCACTGTAACAAAGTCTGAGTCCAGTGGCACCTTTAAGACCAACAAACTTTTATTCAAGGTATAAGCTTTTGTGTGCATGCACATTTCTGCAGATACAAAGTGTGCTTGCACACAAAAGCTTATACCTCGAATAAAAGTTTGTTTGTCTTAAAGGTGCCACTGGACTCAAACTTTGTTCTGCTGCTTCAGACCAACATGGCCACCCACCTGAATCTTACCACCACTATAAATCAGACTTGCATAAAACTTTCACTGAGCTCATAATTCACAGAATATTGTGATTTTATTTTTAATCATCAGGAGTACATAAATGTTATTCTCTAAGCTGCTCCAGAAATGACTTATTTGAATTAGGCCTTCACATTTTGAAATCATTACAGTCAAGTTACCAAGCATTACAAACAACAGAGTTGCTATAAATTATGTCAAAAACAACACTACTATAAGCCAATACTGGAGTGATCCTGCTCCATCTCAGAATGGTTTTAGGGCCGCCTGAAAGGAAGCTGGATAGCATCCCACCCAACTCTGAGTACTGCATTTAACAGTGCAGACCTAAGCAGAGTTATACATTTGTAAGGCCATTAAACTCTGCTCAGGATTGCGCTGCAAGCCCTGGGGAAAAGTGACCAAAATCAGAACCCTGAGAAAGATATATAAACTGTTAACAAGAAAGAAATGCATACATTAAACAATCCCTCCCTTACATGGAGGGAACAAATAATTCTTTCTGCAGAGATAGGTGGAATTTTAACTTTATCCTTCTAGGACCTATCTAGCCCTTTAAGATTAGCATACTGCTGGCAGATTCTACAAGATTCTACAACATATTTTCTACTGCTCCATTCAGTTGCAAGGAATATATTTTGTTTAAGACAAGACTCAGATGTTGAAATCAAAAACAAAAACCATGGATGTTTTGCTATTTACATTAGGCTTAAGGGATGATGGGGAAATTCTATGAAAAACTGTTACCCTCAGAGTTTCACTGTTAGCCAGACATCTGAAAAAATGATGCGGTAGTTAGCACAAAAAGTGGATACAAATGGCAAAAGCAACATGACCAGTGTTTCCTCTAAGCTGAGAATGTGAGCTAGCTCACAGTTTTTTAGCCTCCAGCTCACACATTTTTGTCTTAGCTCAGGAAGGATGGCTCCAGAGCAAACTAATTTATACAGTAGCCAAATTGCTTGCTCACAACTTTAATGCCAGTAGCTCACAAAGTAGAATTTTTGCTCACAAGACTCCACAGCTTAGAGGGAACATTGAACATGACCGGTATTTTATTTAAAATTCTGAAGCTGCAATTCTATGCTTGCTTACTTGAGAATAAGCCCCACTGAATACAGTGGGCTGTGCTTCAGAGTACACATACACAGAATTGGTGTAATACTCAAGTAATGTAATATGGAACATTCCCAGACTGAAGTTCAGGAAAGTCCTACACTCAATGAAAACCAGTCAGGTGGGCAGCTCAAGTTTGTGAAAGGCTCAGCTGAGTTTTCAAGGCATCTTACTCCCATGATCTAGTGTTCATAGCCGGAATCTTCCCTATCCTCTCCATAGGAAAGGCTAAACAGTGTGCTGCTTTTCAAATTAATAAAACAGAGACATGATAGAAATTTATATTTAAAAACCACCACCCTATAAATGGTGTACCAAAAGCAAATAAAGAAAACTTATCTCTACCCAAAATTCTATGAACATCCAATGACGTTTAAGGGCAGTAGATTCAGGACAAGCAAAATAGTACTTCGATGCTCAATAAATGACTTGCAGAACTCATTTCCACAAGATGAGTCAGTAAATTAAATGGTTTTAAAGGGAGATTTGGTAAAGCCATGGCACCAACTGCAGCTACTAACAAGTAAGGCTAAATACACCATTCACACTGACAGGGAGTATACCTGTGAACACCAGCTGCTGGGGGTTGCTATCCTCCAGGTGAGGCTTCGATATCTCCTGGTATTACAATTGATCTCCCGACTACAGAGACCAGTTCCCCTGGAGAATGGCCACTATGGCATTGTACCCTGAAGTCTCTCCCCTCCGCAGGCTCTACCCACCAAATCTCCAGGTATTCCCCAAACCAGAGACGGCAACCCTAGCCTAGAGATAATAACGGGTAGAACCTCTGGCCTCTGTGCTTTACTTGTAGGCATTCTCCATTCTGGGAGCATGTAGTTAGCCACTGTGGGAAACAGGCACTACATGAATGTTTGGTTTGGTCCAGTAAGGCTGCGTACCACAGAAGAGCAACTAGAGGTAGGACAGCCATTCCTGGTCAAGGATAATCCAATTGACAGACTACCCTGACTGGCGTTCGTAAGCGACTGCGAGACCACCTGAAAATATCATGTCCACCCACCTGCCGCAGCCCAGACTTTCATCCCAGTCCTGCTCCATACGAACCCACGTTTGAACATGTGTGCCGCCATTTTGGCCCGTACCAACCCTTTGACCCGGGTCGGGGGAGGAATGCAGAATCTCTGCCACCACAAGCTCCTCCTTCCCTCCAGTAAATCTTAACGCACAAATGAAGGCGGGGCAAGGACACAGTGTGAGCGTCCCCCCTCTGTCCTCTCTTGGTACATTCCAGAGCGAGAATGGCTACAGCCGTTGTTGAAGGTTCCAATCGAATCCTGCGGGAGGCGATCAAACGAGCTCTGTTATTTAGGAAATTCGCTCTCGCTTCTAGTTGTTGGAAATGCCCGCAAGGAGGTACCGAAGGGTGGCGGGAGGGCCGCGGGAGGGAGGGAGGGAGAGAAAAGAAGCAACGTTTGTCCTGGCCTGTGCTGGGGACGTTCTAGCGGAGAACTGCATGTCCCATCATACATTGCTGCGTCCTGATAGCCGTGGTTTAGGCTGAGCGAAGTGACGCATCCTGGGGCTTGTGGTCCCGAAGGGGGGGGGTGCTGTTCTCATAGGGCTCTGTTCCTGCTAAGTTCGTTCCTGATCTCGCTGATACTAACATTTGGTAGCAACTTCTGCATAGATTCTTTTTGCTTTGGTTCCCACGGAGCGTTTTAATCGAGCAGCAACGAGAAAATTAAAAGGACAAATGCAAAATAAATAGTGACAAAGGCCAACCTTGCTTAGCAGCCAAGATCTGACGGGATCGGGGGATCGGGTTATCCAAATCAGGGCTAACATGACATACCTAGCACTTAAAAGTGTAAGTGAAATAAATACAGCTGCCTGCAGGCATTTTCAGAGCCACAACCCTGCAGAGTGTATGATTTTCATTCAGAAGGTATCAACGGGTTTCCTAAAAGTTGTGTTTTTAAAATCACTGGGGGTCGCCTTGTTAAAATCTAAGCGCAAGTCTTTTTAAAATTACTTTTCATTTTATCACGGGGGGGGGGAATACAGGTTGGTGTTATACAGGAAAAACCAGATGTTTACTTTAAATGTATTACTTTTTAACCCCCTCCTCCATTTTATCCTCGTCCCGTTTACTTCATGACATGTTGGGATTTGATCCTAAGTCTCCCTCACCTTTAGTCAGCCCCTCTGATGGCTGATTCTGGGAGAAAGTGGTTTGCGGCCCATTTGAGCCATTTATCCTGTTGGTAATGTTCAAATCCATCACTTCTCCATGAAAAAAATAGTGACAATGATGTATTTAAGGATACCTTTCCTCAGGAAACATGTAAGGTCCTAATAATGTGAGCCGCCCTGAGCTGCTTCGGCAGAAGGGCGGGATAAAAGTTGAATGAATGAATGAATATGAATTCTTACCTAAACATAAGCCATAGAATAAAGTAGAACTTACTTCTGAGTATAATTCCAGATGCATACCAATGTTAGTCTGTAGAAGCAAAAGATAATTGCTTCATAGCTATTATTGCAAGAGGTAAGTAACCCATGAGGAACAGAAAGCAATAAGAGCACAGAAGGTCAGAACTTTGGACTGCCCGGAACACCTCCTGCATTTGAGGTTTGACTCACTCATACAAGCTGAAATAATTTTTGTTAGCCTTCAAGTATACACTGGCATGGCCATGCCAGAGGCTTCTTTGAAGCTGTTGCTTAAAGAAGTAGGTATATGTTCCCTAAGCAGAAAGGAAGGTGAAATAAATGTTGTGTGTCCGTGTTTGTAAATAAACTGAAACTGAAAGGTCCAGCAATGGCAGGGTTATTAGTAGATGTTTTACATTACTATGCAAGCCTGCATCATATCAGTGTGAATAGGTATTTGTGAATAATGGAAGGGGAAATTATAGAAATGCATTAGGTGAGACTAAGGGATTGAGCATAGGCCTCATGCAGCCTTTTATCTGCTTTAACTAGCACAGTCTCATGGAGATCCAAAACAAAACTGGTGCATGCACAAATGAAAAGGACCTTTGTTGTGACTCTAAGGCAGAGGTCTCCAAATTCCTTGAGCCCAAGGTTGCCTTTGGAATTCTGACACAGTGTGGTGGGTGCAGCCACAAAGTGGCTACCGCAGGAGGTAGAGCCAGCCAGAAAATAGTGGCCACAGTTTACCTTCAGTGTAGTGGTTAAGAGTGGTGGACTCTAATCTGGAGAACCAAGTTTGATTCCCCACTCCTCCACATGCAGCCAGCCGGGTGACCTTGGGTCAGTCACAGTTCTCTCAAGAGCAGTTCTCTCAGAACTCTCTCAGCCCCACCTACCTCACAGGGTGTCTGTTGCAGGGAGAGGAAGGGAAAGTAATTGTAAGCCACCCTGAGACTTAGCTAGTGAAGGGGGGGGGGGGTATAAACCAATTGTTCTTCATGCAATGAAGATCCTTGTACCGTGGAGACAACTGCTGCCAAAGCAAAGTTTTTTGAAAAAAAATCTGTGCAGCCAATCAAATCTCCACTGGTCAATCAGAAAGTGCCACCTGCCCCCCTCCCCACTTTCTAAAAACATGTGGTGGGTACCAGGAAATGTGTCATTGGTTGCCATGGCATCCATGAGCCCCACATTGGGCACCCCTGCTCTGAAGTAAGGATCGGAAACTGGTGGTCCCTATTCCAAGTCTGGCCTCTTGAGAAGTGCTGTTTATTACCAGGAGTGAAAGAGAATTCTGAAGAGAGCTACAGCTGTGACCTTGGTACTTGCTAGGGAGGTCGGGCTCTTGTCCTACCATTTCTTTCAGGTCCCCTGATAAAATTACGTGTTGACCAAGGCCTTAAGGCAGCTACAAAAGTCTTAGAGTGAGCAAGAAGATTTCATTGTAAGCTTATCAATGTATTACAAAAGAATGTTTGACAACATGTTGCTCTAGAAACTGCATTGTCTACACAAGTGATAGGAATCCTCACAGTACACTCTTATTTTAGTAACTAGAAATGTAGATAGTTATAATTTTGGTCATTGCAACTTCAGATTTCTTGATTCAGAGTTACATTTAAATGAAGTCTAAGGTTCAAAATGTAAATATATGAAGTGTTCTGAATATCTCCTTTATATTGTTCTATATTCCAGCAAAACGTTATTTGTTAACAGAAAACATTCTGAGGTTACATGAATTTCAGCAGCAGAAGCTGGCAATTGGATATCGACACTATGGCGAGAAAGGTATTTGCTTCATGCTTCCTCCCCATCAACTGTTCACAAATTAGTTTTATAAAATCTGCTGTTCTAGTTGTGATGCCCACTTGGTACAATTTGGAAGTGTTAACTTTTTTTTAAAAAGAGAATTATTGTAAAGGATTGGTTATTTAATTCTAGAGCATATAAGTAAGGGCTCCTTGCCTTTCCCCTTGGCAAGAGAATTTTACTGTTTATTGAGCCCTAGTTTACTGCTTCTGATATCTGGCTTCCTGGTTGTGCCTACCTGAATAGGTCAGAGGAAGAAAATGAGTTTTGGTAGAAAAACTGATATCTTATTATTATATATTGGTATTTCCTGAGTGTTGAAGTGGCATTCTATTCAACCTGCAAAAAGCTTGCTTGAGGGGTGGCTTAAATCCATGTTGTTGTTGTTCAGTCACACAGTTGAGTCCGACTCTTCACGACCCCATGGACAACATCACGCCAGGTCCTCCCGTCTTTTGTTGTGCTCCGGAGTTTGCTTAATTTCATGTTTGTTGCATCGATAACACTGTTTAACCATCTCATCCTTTGCCGTCCCCTTTTTCTTTTTACACACACACACACACACACACAAAACCTTTATTAGCATGAAAGCACAAAACATCATGGAAATATGGGAAAATACTAAGATGCATCAGTCACACTTGGCTATTCAAGCCTCGTCTTCTGATTGCATAATATAAAAAATTTTCAACAGCCTCCATTATTTCGCAATTAGAATTGAACAGAAGAAAGTGAACAATTGAGTCATCAGAGTGCCAGCTCTTACCCTCTAGAAATGGAGTAATAAAACGAGATCGAAGGGGGCAATGAAGTATGGTGTGTGTAGTGGATTCTGTATCTTTTAGAGAGCAAGGACAAAGTCTGTCTACATATGGTATCTGGCGGTACCTCCCTAAAAGCACCTCTGATGGCAGAACATTAAAGCGTGCAAGCATGTATGCTCTGCGATGATGTGGGGCTGTTAAACTTGACAGATACTTCGCAGTAGAGCCCATGTCAAAAGTCCCCAACCTGCTTGGGGAGATTTTTCTTTTTAAATCCATGTATATAGCTACTATAATATTTGAGAACTTTGAACATTTTCCTACCTCAGCACAGTCACTGTAGTCGGAGCGGATTATACTGAGCATACTGGGTTAGCCCCTCTTCTGCACCCACACAGCCACATGGCAATCATTCACCACAGTGATGAACCATTAGTACCTACAAAGCAATGATAAGTGCTGTAACCTCTTCTGTGATAATATCATCCCTTTGAGAAGCTCTTTTTCCATACTTTCATGCGGAAGGGAAGAACAAAACGTACCACATAATTTGCGCACGACTAAGCAAGAAACTTGACTGTTTCCCATGGAAAAGCAGATGAAATGAGGGAGCTTGTTTTCATTCTACCGTGGATTTAACCAGGAGGTTGTTCTCATCCTACTGTGGATTTAACTGCCTTGAACATTCAAGGTGGAGCAGGTGCTTCCCTCTTGTTCCCAGATGTTCACAGAGATGGGCATGAGGGGTTTGCATTAAATGCTGGTCAGTTATGCAGAGCACAGGGAGTTTCACCAAACATCAAACTCCCTCTCTAACAGTCAAACTGCAATTAGCTAACCACTGGGATGCCTGCCCAAAGTGCTGTTCCTGTGGCCCTGACAAGTATCATTTAGTGTGCTCAAAGATCAGCCAATGTAAGGGCTCAAGCTAAACACAAACAAAACATATAAAAACAATTTAAAAATCCTTAACTTAGTTAAGTGCTAATTGTAGTTATTGTTGTTGTTCAGTCGCACAGTCGAGTCCGACTCTTCGCGACCCCATGGACCAGATAACTAAAAAATGGACCAGATAACTAAAAAAAAATTAATTATACAAAGCAGTTAATAAAAGAATTGAAGAAT